CACCAAAAACTATTGTAACTAGTGGGCGAAGTGGCACTTTGCTACACATGAGAGAAATGTTTAAACGCACGAGCCGTAGGCGAGTGTGGAATGTTTCTCGAGTGCAGCAAAGGCAGTTTGCACTTGTGTTACAAACTATATTTTTCTTACTGTTATTATAAAACATATAAATAATTACCTAGTCTTTCAAACTCTGTTCAACACGTTTCTAGGTTAGGTTAAATCCAAACATTGGTGAAATGGTAAGATGTACCAGTTGATCTTGGTCGTAATATTTTGAATGGGTAGCCAACTTATTTTCAAGTGTACGTATGTATTATGTGTCTAATAAAACCTTGCGGTTTTGTGTTGTTTGGTTGGAATACTGGAGTGTGGCAAAAAAAAGAGTGCGGTAAAAGTACGGTAAGTCAATTGCAGCAAATAGCAACTTTCTGTGCTTTAATAAGTGCAAGGAAGGCCACTTTGTCAGGTGACAGTTGGAAAAATAATTCACATGCGCTTCATTTTGAAAACTGTGAATGACTTGACTTAAACAACCTTTTTATTATTACTGTTATCATGTTAAAATGTGTAATTTTACGCACAGGCCGCCTAGTTATTAGTTTATAACTAATGTGATAACTGTTTACACACATTGTTTTTGTCCTATGACACAACAGGCACTAGTCCGGAATTTTAATTCACATTTCACACATCAGCCTAGGTCTAGGGCTGTGGTATTCACACAAAAGAAAGTAATAAAAATAAATAATAAAATCCATTGGTCATCTGCCAGGATTTGAGCCCAGTACTGAAGTTCTGCTCGCTCCCCTAGGGCAAAGAATTTAGTCAGTTGTAGGCATTAGGCAGGCCTATAAAATATGTAGAGGAGGCTATGACTTAGAGCATTGGAACGCCGATAAATATGATCAGTCATTAATATTAATCGGGGCCAATCGTATGAGCGAAGACAGAATCATATTTAGTAAATAAAGTTGTCACTTCCAATTGCTTGTTGTTGGCTAATCAGCTGTAGGCTAAAGTTACTTCACCCACCACGGGCGTCGCCGCCATAGGGGACCCCCCAATATTTGAAAAGTCAGTTTGGTCCCCCATTCCAAATTTTAAAAATCATACAGAATGCGTGTTCACCCGATCGATCGCTTCCAGCAAGAAAGGTGCTCGCTTCGCTGTGTGATTCGGAAGCGTACGACATGATGCGGTGGTGGAGGGGTGTTCTGATTCACGATCCTCGAGTTGCACTATGGATGCCTAGACGCTTGTCTTGAATGTCTTCTCGCGTTTCAGTCAGACTTTCAGTCCGTTCCGTCACCGTCAGTCGGCAGTGGTTGATACTACATACATTTATATGGAGGCCTACGTTAACTCTTTTCTCCTCGTGTGCTGTATCTGTCGGTAGTATCGGTTATAGTTCTTTTAGGTTAGTTGATACTTTTTGGAAGAGTTGATACTTGAACCTTGAACTGTTTATTGTCAAATGAAGCGAGCAGAAGGCCAAAAACAAATTGTTTATATAAAAACCTGCTTGTAAAAATGTAAGATTGTGGGTTTTAAATATTAGTGTTTAAACGTCATTGAATTCGATACTATACATATTGTGACAGATATATGAAATGGAGAAAAAAGTAAGGTTAAAAAAACATATCTACTTGCTTGCATGGCATATAACATGTGAAATGGAAGGTTTTAGGACAATTGGGCACAGTTCACAGTTCTATCCATTAGAAATGGCTTTATAAAGTCACCAATCACCATATGGCTTTTGGGAGATATGGCTTCGTAGTCTACAGTAGGCCTATGTTTTGAAATTCATGAATGCAAGTTCGTCATAGTTTGATTTTTAAAATGTCTACTTGCTCATGACAAAGACAAATAACAGGTGAAACGGGAGGTTTTTGGACAGTTGGACACAGATATAGATATTAATAATGGCTTTAGAAAGTCAGTAAACAGCTTTTACGCCACACTACATTATTTTGATGAACTTTCCACGCAAGGATTTAGTCCAGAAAACAGCCAGCTTATTCAAATGGGGTTTCATTGCGTAATACTGTTCTGCAATGAGTTTTACCGGACACCAATCAGCTGATTATACTGTATTTTCGTGGCAATTAGTGGTTATAAACAAAAACATAACCTCTCATGACTAGTGATTTTTAGTCCTTTAGTTGGTGGAAATATATAAGGATTTGTACGGATTAAGTAGTATGGCGTAAACTATCGTACGTAACTCGTCCAAAATGTGTGTACCGGACTCGTATGGTAATCCCGTACTCGACTTCGTCTCGCACGGGAACGACCACACTCGTCCGGTAAACACTTATTTTCAGGACTAGTAACGTAATATACTTATATTGTGAGGATACGGCCGTAGCCTACAATATTTTTTGAGATTTATGAATGAATGTGATCGTCATAGTTAGTTTTAAAAATGTCTAATTATTCATGACAAATAAAGGGGGAAAAGGGAGGTTATGCACACAGTTCTAGATGCTAAAACTAGCTGTATAAAGTCACCAAACGGCTTTAGGAGGATATGGCCTTAGTCTACAGCGTGTTTTTAAATTCATTAATGCAATCGTCTTTAGTTTAATTTTTAAATTGTCTATTTGCTCATGACAAAAAACGGGTGAAATGAGAGTTTATGGACAATTGGGCACGGTTTTTTGGTGTTAAAAATTGCTTTAAAAAGTCACCAAACTGCTTTGAAAATTACCAATTTTTGGTGCTCCACACCCCCCAAGCCCCCCGGTGAGCACCCCCTTCCTACATTTGTCCCTCTCAATCTTTTGATGCTGACGACGCCAATGTCACCCACAGTTCATTTTACTTGTTAATGTCATCCACCCTACCTTGACTATTCAAACATTTTGAGCGGCGATTTATTCCGTTTCAGTAATATTCATCTGCGGTGAAAAATAGTAGTCTATTTGGATTCAGTACGGTACGTAAAATACTACGCAGAGGATACGGGTCCAGTAACCGGACGTGGATTAGGCATCCGGCAGTTACTGTCATAACCTAACCTAACCAACCAAACTTGCTGATAATGAAAAAAATCGAATGAAGGTTAAATTCTGTCAATAAAATAAATTTATAAACGCAACCAATTCAAACAAAAGGTAGGCCAATTGTACAGTTAAGAATAAACCCACGCAAATATGGACATTAGGCCTAGGACATAAAAATGTTCTTTCCATTTATGATAACCCAACCTAACATAACCGCCGCAAAGCGCTGTATATCTGTAGCCTCCGGATAATACTTACCAAAGTACCGATTTGAACTTTGAATAACTTAGTTATCACGGCAATATGGTAATAGCCTCCAGGGTACACAACTCTGGTCTCTCTATATCTCTCATCTGCAGTGATGTCGATGGCAAAGTCGTCCAGAAAGGTTAGTCCTCTTAACTTATTGGTTCAAGACAATAGGGTATTTAAACTAAGAGACCAATTTGGGCTCAGGTCAAATTACAGCCTTTGCTCCAGGATCATCTATAAAATTAACATTGAAGTCATCAGCAATGAATGGTATAATCCAAGACTAGTCTTACACCAAATACAAACCTCTCTAGAATATTTTACAGCACTTAAGTTAAGTTTACATCCTACACTCATTCCAATGAATATATTTCTTTAATACTTTCTTTCTTATTACTTGGCGACCATACAAAGTAGGTATTTTAAGCCAAGTATGAATGGAGATGAGTGTAGGATGAGTGGCGCGATCTTGTAGTCTTGTTTGTGACTAAAAGACCGACATTCCTTAGACACAGCTGTTAATTAATAGCCCCACAGCTAATGGCAACTAAGGGACCTGCAGTTTATAGTGGAATCCGGATCACATTAACTTATTGCCTTGGTATAGGAGTAACTTATACGAATTGGTCTAATTATCAGGATAGTACTGCGGAGAGTCGTAGTAAGTACTCACTCATGCGGACGTTAGTCCACACCAGGGAGCATCGAATTCACAGTGCATGCCTACAAATTGACTTAGCCTATTGCTTTGCTTAATGGCCAAATAAATCATTGAATCATTGAATTGAATCATTGAAATATCCACAATTCGTGACCTTCTAACTTAGTAGCTGGATTACAGGACGACGCCACACGTCCCAGTCAGATTGATTATTTCATTCGATAAACTTAGGCCTAAGCCTATATCAAGTTTGGTTAAGTAGTTAGGGTAAAACCTAACCTAACTAAAGGAATGCAATATTCAAAATACTAAATAGTCTATGTATTTAATATCTTTCATTTGAATAAATGTAGGACATAGCCTAAACTAAAGTTCAGCCAAATATTTTTACAAAAACAAATTCTCAAAGTTGACACTGGGTCAGTGGGGATAAGAGACAATCCTAATAGCCTAGGGATTTGCCTATTCAAACATTTGCAATAATATTGCTCTATGATCCAGAATTAGCCTACGAACAAGCTGGAATAAAATATTGATTCTTGATTCTGTATCTTAGGTTCTTGTTGGTATCTTACCTCTTCTTGTTGGTGACTTACCTAAGTTAGTGCCTGGTAATGTTTTTAAGTTTTTTATCCTATAAAAATTATTTCACATTAGGCCTATTCCTTAAAAACTATTGTTTGTAACACTCGAGTCATCTATTTTCTTGTAAACAAGGAAAGAAATGAAAAAGATAAATATTTACAATATAAAAGTTTTAGTCCATAAATGGCCAGCTTGCAGATGTCCGTCGGGTCGCAATTCGGAATCAAAAATATTGCGACTCGTGAGTTGAGGAACTGAACGATGAATTAGAACAACTCCTTTTCAAGAGTAGCTCCGAAGAACGGGAGCTTGTCGATATACTGGGACTATTTCAGTGTCGATATAGTGAAACTATTTCATTGTCGACAATATGGGATGTCGACAATTTGTGGTGTCGATCATTTGCGACGTCGGTTATTTGGGATGTCGGTTAAGTGGGAATATTCCAGTGTCGACAAACTGGGAATAATTCAGTTTCGATCAATTTCTAAGGTTGTCGATATTATGGAACCCACCCATTTTATTTAACAACAACACAGAGACATATCATCAGTCAATCCACTCACCATAATATTGTGATTTGTGGTTGTTTTATGTTTATTAATTGACTATTGTGTCTCAATTCGGTTCAAGTATCGGTTTTGATCTTGTGGTTTGAAATTCGTAGTAATGTTAAATCTTGGATAAAGTAAATATTATGAATTCTTCCTGTGATCCTTGGAGTAGTTCAACAAAAGTCCAGGAGAATACCTCCGAAGAGTTTGAAGATAACTTTGCGGAAATAAACACTATTGAAAAATTGCCAGACTCGGATGCATACTTAGCTTCATTGGGTAAGTGGTTGGTTATTCCATTACCATTTCATTTGTAGGTATAGTTTTTAAAGCCCTAGTTAGGCTTGCCAAAGGCGTAGTCTCACTGATTGAAGAAAAATCAAGAAAGGGCTAGGCCTAGGCCTAGTCAAACTACTATCGAATTTTTTAGCTGTGTAGTAGGCCTATGACATATAGGCTGCCCCTCATATTTGTTACTTATTAATATCTAAGCTATAACCGTATCTTGTACACTGAATCAAAAATAACTCCCATATTTGTCTAACATTGACTAGAGTCTGTACCTCCAACTGTGTCTGTGTACCTAAGTTAACTTAAGTTACCTACCTTATAAAATGGCCGCTTAGCAATAAATTAAACAGACCTAATGTTAGCAAACCTGTAGCCTTTTGTCGGATTTAGGGTAGCCTAATTACAGCCCCTAACTTATGCCATAGGCTTCCAACCACACTTGCGTCAAAATGGAGAATATCTCCTGCGATCGAGGAGACATCATCATCGTCACCCACAAACACTTAGAGAAATCTTAAAATTCTCCATTATCAAGGGATATCATCATCTTCAACTGCCATCATGGTGAAATCAAAGAGACAGCATCGTAGGCACGTGCAAATGCGGCGAAATCATGAACCTGCAATCTAGGGGACATCATCATGGTTAGGCCTACTAGCGATTGGCATGAAATTGTGAACATTTCCTGCGATAACTTGGATAGCGTCATCATCGGTCGCAATTGCGGCAGATTAGATTGTTTACAATTAAATTTTGATTCTAAGAATAATGTGTACAATATTGCTGCAGTCCCCTCTTGCATGCGGCCCTAAATCAGGTCTTTGTCGGTCTAGTGGTAAATCCGGGTGTCTGACTTAAGCCTTCATAACATAGGTCTAAGTAGTAGGCCTATATTTATAACATCTGGCCAAACTTACTAGGCTACTTCATTGTAATTATCAATTGCTTGATAGGCTAGGTTACTTAAAAATTTGGATTTTGGTTATAGTAAGCTAGGCCTAAGTTTAACTTTACCTATTCTTATTGGTTGATTATAGATCCCTTTACGTTGGATAATACGATGGAGTTGGATATCGAAGTTTTGCGAGCATTCAATAGATATTTTGGGTATTCTCTTAAACCTGAAATGGTGTTGGCCTTTAACTTAATAATTTTTCTTAGACTAATAACTAAACTATATTTGTTCTGTAAGAGAGAATGAGTCAATAATTTTAGTGAGCTAAGGAACTAAATCGTGAGCTTTCAGCTCTGGTATTTAGAGGCCGAAATATACTTCTGGCGAGCAAGGAAGAGTCTGCACAGCAAGCACTGTGCGGAAATTCCTATCACACTGGGTACAGGGTCTTCCTCCACCGTGAGCGTTGTAGTACATGAGAGAAGCGGTGTTGGACTTTGCTCTAGACACCACTTAAGTGTACCATTTAATGTTTCCAATGTACCTTACTTCTCTGTGGTTAACACGTTCGCTGCTGGCCGCTAGATGCCGGGACGGCGCCAGGAGCTGAACTGACGCTTGTCGCTGCGTAAACATTGCTGCCGATACACTGAATTACAGTAAAAACAACAGTTATACTGGATGGCAATGTTCTGCAATAAAACTGGCTTTGGGCATAGTACTAAGTGATTCTGATAGATAGCAGGTTGAAAGTCCCCACCCCCCAGGTTGAAGTTCTACCCAGGTTGAAGTCGGTAAAGTAGTGTCGCTATCTAGCAGGAAAGAGGTGGGGACAAAGCCCTGTTATAAACGACCCTGGTGGGGATTTTGGGAAACTATATTTTTTTAATGTCAGAAAAGTACGTTCCCACGAGCTGCAAAGAAATATAGGACGCTCGTGACGAGCTGGCTGATCCATGGAAACGTTAAACAACAATTACACAGCGTTGTATTTGTACAACGCTAGCTCCTGGCGCCGGGTAGGCACGCTGTAAAAATACAACGCCCGCAGCGAACGTGTTAAGTAAAGTAAAATAGGCACCTGTACTGTGTTAAAATATTCCAGTTTTGTTATATCCTTGCAAACAGGTGTTTTGTAAACAGACAATAACATGAAACTTACTCTTTTGTTGAAGTAGAAACCTCAAATTTAACCGTCAATGATCTTGCTAGATGACGTAACTTTTAGTTATTATACCATTAATTAAATTGAAATGGAATGATTTCAGAAAAGAAGTTGGCTAGAATCAAAAGTGGCAAAGGGAATAAAAAAACTGAAGGGAAAGAGCTCCTGAAGTCCTTGGAAGAAAGCAATGATTCATGCATGTATAGATTGATCTCTGGCGACTCTTATTCAATCACAGACCAAGATCTTCAGCTTGATACTCCAACTAATCTTAGACTATCAAGCAAGTGGTTGAACCCGGAGCAAGCTCTCACCGTAGGGGAGCTTGTTGAACTGGTGAACGCTGATTATCTAGCTCAGGCCAGCTGTGATAACAATTCAGAAGATAAAACAGAGGAGAACTGTACCGGTAAGTTTAAAATTTCATAAGAAATTACTATGAAAAAATACAAAAGATTTTACTGCTTTTGTACCTACACAATATGTGGTTACCAGTGGTCGCAATAACGCCCCTGTAGACCTGATGGCTTGCTAGGGATTGAGCGAAAAAATAATTAGAGTAGGCCCTAACTGTTTTTGGGGAGTTTGTTGATTGGAAAACATGCTTTTAAGAAATAAAGTGTAAACTGGTTAATGCTGTAAGTGCATTTTATGAATTGACACAATAGAAGTCTTAAGCTCTTTCTTGAAATTTCAATATGCCTACCGTATTACATTTGATTCCTTTGAAAAATTGGATCTTACTTGTGCCCTAAAAAGAAATGTGATAGGCTACATAAAAAAATATAGACACACTTACCTTACCTTTTTACTTACTTATTGCTGTGGCCACTGGTACACTAAATGGTACTTGGCCTCCCCAACACACTGCCTCCATACATCTCTGCATCTTACGTAAAGTATAAGTAGCTATGGTGGTACACTAAAAACTTTGAAAAAATTAATTTCATCCTAGATTAGTTACAACTCTGTCATTATGCAATAACGTTTAAAATTGAAAAAAAAAAACGCAAATTTACTATTACCAATCTACCTATAATAATTTGATCATGAAAATATCTAACAACAATTAATTGTGCTAATATTAAATGTAATGGTAAGGTAAACTCAAATTAAAAATAAAAACCAGTTTACATAGCCTATTGGGTATTATTTCAGGGAGCTATAAACAAATTTAGCATTTTCCCTTAATTTTGATTGGTTTATGATTAGCAATTGGTCAATAAAAAACCTGTAAAAAAGAAAAATATTTAGTAACAAGGGCAACATGATTTTTTTTTCTTCATGTTCTTAGTAGTTGTTGCATTATTTTCAAAGAAGCTAACCTGACTTTAAAAAGTACATTGAATCCTGGCCATAATTCCTAATTGGAATTTTATCAGGCATTCTGTATCATATTTTTAGTGCATTCGGGTTTGGATTAATGTTTCAAACAACTTAATGATTTTAAACCAATAATAGAGTAAATAAAAGAAGTCCAACCTGAATTTATTACAGGCAAATAATCAACCAAAATTCACCAATTTAATTGAATTGACTAAAATATGTAGCCTATTTCTTTCTGATAATTAGCAACTTCAATTATTGCCGAAATGGGAACTAAGTTAGTGAAGAAAAACTTAATTGTATAAACATTTTAAGCTAAGTCAGTTTTTAAACTATCTACAAACAAATCCAAATACATTTATGGTTGTATTAGTCTTCCAGTTACAAACTCAGCTATTCAAACCAGTTTGAGGAGTTACATAATGATGATAGCTGGTGTTAGTGTTCTTGTGGTCGATATTGTTTACAACCAGTTTGTGCATGGGTCAGTCAGTGATTCCCCATCTAACTAGTTGATCTTGCAAGCACACCGGGCATCAGGTTAAAGTAGATAAAGAGGAAATTAGGTATGTTTGCTCATTCTAGGTTGTACAAGGTTTAAGTTCATCATTTTACTCTATATTGTGTAGTGCTGATTATTTCTCACAACACTTCTAATCAAGATTGGTGCACATTTTGAGGTTATGTAACCTTGATTATCTTTGTACTCTTGTAGTGTGCTGGTATTATGGATGTTGTTGAAATTGAACTTGTTTGGGCATAACTTATTGCTTTTTTACATTTTAGAAATACCAATTTTTTGGAAATTTAAATTTTCAGATTAAAAAAATACATAAAAATGTATAAATTAATTTCTTTTTGGTAACCAGGCCTATTTAAAATATAAAAATCATTTATCGTTTTCAGTGTTCAATGTATTACACATAATGATTAAATGATAATCATTCTATTTTATAGTTTTGTACTTATTTTATACTTATAGGCTTACAATAATCATTTAAAACTTAAATAGTTAAATAGCAACCTTAGATAGTAAAAAGACTAGATTTGAAATAATAATTTGTAAGTAAAGTTCAAAAAATAAATACCGTGTACCTAAGGTAAAAAAATAACCCTGGAACTGCCTTGTTTCCCAGTTCAGTTAAAAAATGAAAAAAAATTGAAATACTACATTGTATACCGGTACTACTATATTTTATACTTTGTACTAGTACCACCTACTGGTACATAATTTGTTTCAGGAAGAAAAAGAAAATATAATATTATTTGTATATGTAGTAGAGTGAAAATTTAAAAACGTACGTTTTCAGGAAAAGCACTTTGCAAATTTTCCCCCCCTTTTTTCAAAACTGTTATTATTTTTTTTATTTCATTAACATTTGAAGATTTATAAAATGTCCATGGTAACGCAATATCTTTGGTAGTTTCTTTCTAAAAGAGCATCTTTAGTGGAAAAACACAAAATCCTGTCACGACCATAACGGACGTTTAAATGAATATTAAAAATAGATAATATTATTTTTATAACTATGTTTTGCTATAAACTAATTTACTTTTATGACCATTATACAATAAAAAGGTCACTGAGCTTTTTGTATATTTGGTCTTTCTAGAAAAAAATAAAAAAACTCAAAAAATTGAAAAAAGCCAATAAAATCTTTTTAAGTTTGTATAACTCCGAAAAAACTTACCTGAGACCCGAAAAATCGTTATGTTTGTATAGAGGTGTGCTTCTTTTGTGTATAAAGCATTGAAATATGACAATATTTTTATTTTTGAAATTTTTATGATAGAAATCATAAACGTGATGGTCAGGGACAAGCAGTACGGTTGTGAATTGTCTGGAATAATCCAAATCTTTCTAAACAATCCTTCAATTATCCTGTTAGTTATAATAAAAATATGTGTTTCAATTGAACTAAACTGTTCAATTTACAATTATATTAAAGTTATTGTCACGACCAAACACACTATAATCCATAAGGCTGGATTGGTCGTGAAAAAAATCGTGATGGTCGTGAAACTTTGGTCGTGAAATTACGTGTGATTTGGCTCTGTTCTGGCGGTAGCCCTGCACCTCATGTTTGAGGATACAAAGTGGACTTCTAGGTTAATATACCTATTGAAATATCTTATAAACAAAAATTAACACCATGTCTACTTCATCGAATGACTACGTACGGTCATGGACACACCAAAATTACAGAAAACACAATCTTTCCTTTATTAATCTTGTAACTAGTGTCCCTGTTGCTCGAAATCGAGCAATTGCTAAGTATTACAGGCGTTATTTTAAAACGAATAACAGTCATATTTTTTATGACTATAAAAGATTCGACTCAAAGATTATGGAATACTCAAGATGTACATAACGATCGATATAATAAACATTTCTTGTAAATATCTTATCATTTTTCAAAAGCTGATTTTGTTTTTTAGTGTTTATAACACACATTACTTCTATTTCTTTCCCTTGGTGGTGTTCTATGACTTTCCTATGTTTCCATAGTTTGCAAATCGTCTCTTTCAATGATTACTAAGAAATGCAGCACAGTGTTAATTCAGTTTTCTTTTTAGTATATCAATTTATCCAGGCTCTCTTGTTTTTTCCCATTGTAATAATTACGCCAACCCAAATTCAAATAGTAACTATTTCATTTCAACCGAGTAAGTAAATGTTTGTGGCAAACTAACTGTTAAATTAGCAAACTTATTGGCTGTTTACAATTAACATATGTTCTTCTTCTCACTTTTAATTTCTGACAACAGCTGGAGTTTCATAACAATATTTGTTTCCCATGTTAATCTTATGGAGAAATACGAAACTTTAAAGGGCCCCAGGGCCTCACTCCCTAATTATTTCCGTAAAAAGAATGTTTCCTGCACAACTTCACGTTACGCTCTTTCCAATGACACCAAGAACATGTAAATCGGTTCAGTAGTTTCGGAGGAGTAATTGTCACAAAAAACCTGCTTGCGTATTAAATAAGTAATAGATTCCTCCTTTCAACTCGAAACGACCGGCACTACAATCCTGACGTACACCCCGAACTAGTCTCTAAAACCAACTGACTCCATCGACGCCAGGCTTGTCTTTGTCGTGCTTCAAAGTTGAAAATTTTTCCCAAATGGTCGTGACGCCAAATCGAGGGACAGACTTATTTTGTCATGGTAGTCAGTTTGTAATGACAATAAAATTATAATATGCTCCTTTTTTGTAAGTTTAATAACCATTGATGACATAAAAATATAGCTTTATAAGTTTCGGCATGAATAATTAGTCTAAAAACAGCGTGAAAGTTGGAAAATGTACCCTAGGGACACGTCATGGTCTTGAATTTCGAGACTTTAAAAATACGAAAAAAATACCTGGAACCTATTTAAAACCAAATAAATGTGTGTAACATGTTGCCCCCGTCCCAAAAAATATTAAAACACATAATAATAAACTACAAATCCAGTATCTACGAAGTAAAAGGCCAGGGACATGAAAACGTACGTTTTTAAATTTTCACTCAGTAATATTACCACAATTTATTACATTTGATATAAATTGTTCAACAAAAATTTAATTCTAAGATATCCTTTATTTTTATATGTAAAAAATACATGATTAGTGATGTATAAATGTCATTATATACATATCATAGGAACTCTTATCTAGCTTAAAACTTAAAACTCTTTGGAAACAAGTATTGTTAGTTGTAAATTTCCCATAAAAATGTTTGTTTATAAAATGGCTCATCAGCTGACCTTGAATTTTCAAGTCAGTAGACAAAGAAATTGCTGGATCTTAAAATAAATTCAAAGCTACGGGCGAGTTAACAGGATAGCCAACATCTTTAATTTTTCATCCATTTTACTCAATTCGTTAACTGTGTTATTGAATACAAGTAAAATACTGGATCGGCCATTTTATGACCGATAGCACTACAGAAATCCCTCTGATTGGCCTTGGAATGACTGATAAGCAATTCTAAGGCTAAACTTACAAACAATTACTGACCATACTTGGTTACTTCTGTTACAGAATAAATCAAGATGCCAGCTCAGTTTTGGGGTCAGAAGACATTTTGTCTGTTAACGGGAGCCAGCCAGGGGATTGGCCGCTGCTTTGCTGTTGAGTTTGCTCGCAACTTCGGAGCTGGCTCTCACCTCGTGCTGCTCGCTCGTACTACTTCTGGTCTTGAGCAAACTCGCAGTTTAATCAAATCTGCCAATCCTCAAGTCACTGTTCACGTAAGAGCTCCAATAATTCATTAGTAACTATTTTCGAACAATCTTTGAAACTAGGTAGTATGAGAAGAATATCCAGGATTGGTATAATTTAAAAGACATAACTAGGTTTGGTGAGTTGGTTGCACAGACTTCGAGCTCAAGGTAGCAATGTCGTGGGTTCGGAATAAGGGGTTCATCATACTACATTTTCAGTAAGTTGTTTCAACTTTAAAAAATCATATGACAAAATTCAACTAGACCTATTTGTGTAGGCATGTCAGCTTCCATGTAAGCCTACTTCCAAGGGTCGATCCATACAACTTCAATTGACTTCCTTCCGAAGGCTTTCTTTCTCTATACATGACAATTCCCCCCCCCTGGGAACAAAATATTGTCTGTTTTATGTATTCTGTGTCCTCTATGGCCTACATGCACTTATTTTAAGGTTAGTTAGCTGCTACCCTATTATACAATTCAAAATCCTGGCCTAGAGCCTTTCTTAAAAAAAAACCTGATTTAAAACACTGTCGACATATATTAATAGGCTTAAAATTACACTACACCTGTTTTGCAGATCCTTGTTTACTGTTTGATATTATTTTAGATCCATTCAGTAGATCTGGGAGATCCAGATGTCGAGTTGTACAAGACGATTCTCAACAGTGACGCCTGGGCTGGAGAGAGTTTTGATCTGAAGTTACTTGTACACAACGCTGGGTCTGTAGGCAAAGCTAACACTCTCAGCAAGGACATGGATGACCATCTTGAGTGGAACAGGTAAAGTGAGAACAAAACCAACCGTGTTGACATGTGTAGGAAGCAATTCAAAGAATGAATCTAGCTACAATAGAGCATTGACTGTTCCAATCTTCAGTTATCCAGTTCTCTCTTAAATAAAAAAAAAAAATGCTTTGAAAAGATATTTTTCAACTTAGGCTTAATGTCGCTGTTAACAGCACAACCTTGGTGCTTCTTTAGGGGATTTTCAAGATCTGCAAAAACCAAACTTCTTTGAAAAGTACTTAAAACCTAAAAGATAGTCTAAAATATAGGCTTGATATTTTAAAAATGTTTTCATAAAGAATTGTAACTCAGGAGAGGGCATCTTACAAACTTAGTGATAAAACCAGACAAAAATATCAGGAACTTGCTGCAGGTAAACAATTAAGTTAATATTGATAACTTAACACACTGGCTGTATGTCATACTTAACTAGGCCTGAATAAAACTATAGGTTGCAGTTGAAGTAGAGTAATGGCAAAAACATGTAATTTGGCTACACACCAAGGCAGAGCTTCCCAAACCATAGGTCGCGACCAACTGGTAGGTCTATTTTGAGCAATTTTGGTAGTTTGCTGGAAAACTAACATCTTTCTCAGATCCTGTAGTTTTTTACTACCTTTTTGGTCAGGTGAGCACTAAAACAGAATATGATAGCATTTTCACCTGAGCCATTCTTTAGCCGTAACCTTAAAAAAAACCAATGATCAATAGCACCTAGGCAATTTTCAAACCACCAAAAAGCTAACTAACTTTTCTCAGTATCAAATATGTGACCTGTTTATTGGCAAGCACCACACAGCTACTAAGTTATAAAGTAGAAATGTAACAAAGATTAACAAAAAAGCCAGCCAAGTAGCAGAACTAGGACTAGAGTTGAGTTTTGAAGTGAACATATGTTTTCTAGGTATCTTTCCCTGAATCTGTACCACGTAACCTCTCTAACGGCAGAGTTTCTACGAAGTTTTCCCTCCGGACATCGTTGCATTGTCAATGTAACATCTCTGTGTGCTGTCAAACCATTCAAGTCAATGGGCTACTACTGCGTCGGTAAAGCTGCTCGAGAGATGTACTTCAAAGTCCTAGCTGATGAAAACCCAGACCTCGACATCATCAATTACTCTCCAGGTAGGTTACAGAGCCATTTTTGAATTGGATAAGATTTCCAAAGTAAAGATTTTATAATTTTCTAGGGTCTAAATGGGTTTGTGGTGCCAAACCACCATAAGTTTTTCTGCAGTGTTGATTTTATGTTCGTTCATACTCCCATTAACAGGGGACATGTTAATTATGATGTGATCTACATGAATCACATCATGTTGTTCTTAAATCTAAAACAAACAATTTTTGCTCCGGGGAAAAATCTTTGGGGGGGATCCTATCCCGTCGTGAAATTCAGGAAGGGAATAAAAAATTCGTCCCATCCCGTCTCTAACTAAAAATACAATTCTGTCCATCCTTATAAGTATTTTTTTTATGTTTCTATGTGTGAATCTGTTTGTGAAGAGCTCTTTTAAGATACACAACAGAATATGTTGTCCTGTTTTCTTGTATTTTACATTTGAGAGTACTATCACAAATTTTGAATATGGTTCACATAAACTTAATACTTCTTTATTATTGAATCTGTTAATATTTTATCGTGCATTATATTTTACCTGATTAATGTTTACTGTCAACAACTCTCATTAAATATAATTTTTCTAGGACCTGTGGATACTGACATGGTTTCTCAGCTTATCAATGAAGTCCAAGATGAAGAAACAAAATCTTCATTCATCACAATGAAAAGTACAAAGACTCTGGTGACAGTTGAGCAAACAACTCAGAAGGTAACTACATTTTATATTACTCTATTGACTCATAAATACTAGTTTTTTATACAATATTATGTTTATAGCAAGTGAGACGACTCTGGATATTATTTACCCTATGACGAGCTTGTCTTAAAATTAGAAAGCTCTTCTGGTTAGATTCCTCAAATTAATCATTTTGGATCCATAAAAAGAATGCAATTTTTTTACTTAACAAAGTTATGAATCCCTCGCCATTAAAGCCAAAAGGGGGGGGGGGGAGGGGATTGCACAGTTATTGGCTTCTCTTATTAGGAATTAAAAATTTAAATGTTGAAATAGGTTTTAGACAAATAAAAATTGTCTACCACCTATACTCAACTCCTACCAATATACTCAACTCCAATGTTTCCTGTGGAGTGCAGGTCTTATAGGATGCCACGGTATTAACATTACTGGATACTAGTGATGTGTCAAAAACAAATCTTAAATATAAAAACCACAAAAATTTGGGAAGGTTTCTATTTTAAAATTCAATATTCTTCCGGCGAGTTTTGAGATCTGAAATTTCAAAATATCAAAAGGAGTTTAATTTTCTTCAGTGTTACTTGTTACCAAGGCTAACTTTTCATATCATTAGCTTCCATTCATAATTTTTTCTGTTTCCCTATTAATTTTATATACTTATACTTCAATTAAATTTTTTTACAGGTGATAGCCCTGCTGACCTCAAGAGGTTACAAGTCTGGTGATCGTTTTGACTATTATGACCAACTACCTCAATAATCTCTGAAAAATAGAATCTAAAGTTCTCTATCCTAACAAACTGTGTTTATCCTTAGATCTTGAGAAAATATTTTTCATTCCAGCTCATAGGAGATGAAATAATGCGAACATTCTTTTGAAATTTATTAGTTATAGTTCATATTTAATGTTTTTGATACATTTTTTATACAATAAGCATACTGCATGATAAAAGTTAATTAAAATATTTCTGTGTAATAGCTATGTGATTTACGTTATGTTGAAATTGTCTTTCTTATTATACTCATTGTTATTTAAAGTTATATGTCTGTTTATATCTATTTATAGTTATACCTTTATTTTAATTATATTACTTATAAATCCAAACCAAATACTACATACTGGCCTAGCTAAGCTAATATTTTATTGTTTTAAATTATAAATATTGGTTATAAAATTTATTGTAGTAAATAGTTGGGAGAAACTTTATATCATGCCATCGTATACGTTTAAAAATTGAATACTGGTTACTAATTATATTACTAAAAATACTCTAATGATTGTGTGATGTCAATCTTGCCCAATGAATATAAAATTAAACTTTTAATAAACATTTTGAATTTTATACTTATCAGAACACAATATGTTAGCATTTATTATTTTTCACTTGGTTATGTTTTATAAACTTATTATTTCTACCAAAAAGTCAAACAGATCTGTCTCAGCTGAAATTGAAGTAATTAGTCAATGGTTACTTTCATAAAATAAAATTATAGAATATGAATCCTATTAAGTTTAATTAATTACTTGATGTTGATTAATTCTACCCTGATCTGAAAACCTTTAGATATGTAATGAATTGTTAAAAAATATTAATAATATTAAAATATTTTTTTCAAAGGAATGTCTAGTTTATTTCCCAGATTGAAGGAATTATGCATAGTTAGTTTGGCTGAAAATTTAAAAATAGTGTTGTCCTTTAGTTGTTAAAAGTATATTTGTTAAACAAATATGAAGGATTTCTTAAACAACAATGATTCATTAGGAAATCATGTAACGATGTAACCATTATTGGGGTCATATAGAGCCAATCACAGGATATTGTTGCTATGGTGATAGTTATAAACTTTCCATGGAAACATGAGTGTGATTGCCAGGGAAACAGAGGGATGTGATTCTTTGAGCAGGTGCAGTTGAAATAATTGCATGTGAATACATTATAAATTTATAAGGAAAAACACTTGTTTCAATTTATTAAGATGAAACACAATTTCCGTATAACAAAGATATTTTTGTTTAATCTGTTGTACGATAGAACTTTGAGTTCACAATTACTAGAATATTTTTGAAAAACAATTCATAATTTTTCCATCTAGTTATACTACTGTTTAAGCCATTTCAACTTTATATTTTGTTATATTTCACCATGGCTTTAAAATTAGATGATTTTCTAACCAAAAAGAAAGAACCCGCTCAAGTTCTCGACTTGTCTAAAGCTACAGCGAACACAAAAGAGGAGTTTAGAAGACTGTTGGAGAAAGTACCGGAATATAAAATACGACCAGAAAAAGTAAGTTGATAACTAATTTTTTAAGTTATTAGTTATTATTATTATAGGTAATTTGGTAAAAACTAAAAACCTGTAAACCTACATTCATTCTAATGAGTACGAGAACCAGCATGGGAACTATGGGAACAGTTTTATTGGGTAAAATTGGGGTTTCCCATAGTTTGATGTAATTGTTCAAATTGGTTTATTTCATGATAAGCTATAAACATAAAAAAAAACACACCTTTACCTTTTCCCTGTAAATACAGAGTAAACCTGACTTTTTAGGGGAACCTTTTTGTCAAAATCCAATCAGGAAATAGAAATTTGCTTAGTCAGCAGGTTTGCTGCGGCTGGTGCACTTAAATACATAGCGAAGGAATTATGTGCAATGAGCATAAGCCATTCAAAAGTCCCAAAGTGAAGAGTTTCGATTTTTGGATTTGCATATCTATATTGGTTTTAGTTACAAATACTCATGTTGATCTACTGTATTTGATCAATAACTTGCATATAAAAAACACATAGCTTACCATAGAAGTAAAGATTGCAGGAAACAGAAACACTTAAGGATTTGAATTGGCTGCCAACAGAGAGTTTGAGTAAATAAAAAATGGTCCTCTGGGATACATAAGGCTTAATCTTAAGCCGGGTTTTCCTAGCCGCGGAGTCGACGAGCGGAGAGAGGAACGCGGAGAGCGGAATTGAAATTAACATGGCATTCCGCTCCGCTTCTAGGAAAACAGTAACATTAAATTGCCTAAGACAAGTGGAGTCCGCTCTCCGCGTTCCTCTCTCCGCTTGCCGACTCTGCGCCTAGGAAAACCCGGCTTTAATTTCCACTTGCCTACTTATTACAAACGTTCCTTTCAGCTTCGTTTTCTTACTTTTTTTAGTGTATATCTTTTAATTATAGCTATCCTAAATCAGTGTTGCTAATATGATTTTTTAACTAGAGGAACTTTTGTCAGATCTTAATGAAATTTGGTATAAAGGTGAAAAGCTGGATAAACTAGATTACGTTTGTGAACCAACCTCAGGCTTGGGTGCAAAATAGAAACAAAAATTGTAAAAAGTCTGTGAATTTTTCATTAATTTTGTCAATATTATGAAAAAAGGGAGTATAGTTACTCTAATTTATTGCAATTTTTGCTAGTCATAAAAACATAAGTATTTTGATATATTTATTTGGTAAGACCCTGTTCTGATTGTTTGCACTGAACTCTGTACTATCAAAGCCAGGACTGACTATTCTCTTCTATCCAGGGCTACTTCAAGTAATACACATACAGTAGGCATTGCTTCAATACAAGGTGTTCAGTTCTTTTTAAGTAGTGTTAATTGAGATATGTTGTACTATGTAAACATTCAATTCAGGTAAAACCAGAAGAAATTAAAATCAAAGAGAAGGACTTCACATTCAAGACACCCAAAAGAGAGTTGCGGCCATCAAGAGAATATCCGTTTGCTGATCCTGTTCCTCCAGAGATGAGAGGTGTGAAGCTGGAAGATCTCAGTTGTGTCAACATCCAGTGGAAGATGCTGACCACCTTGCGACCGAAGAACAAACAGGATGAGGAGTTGTTCACCAGGTAAGTTAGAGGTCCTTTAACATTCTACATTTATAAGAAATGTTTGACAGGCTTTTTCATTCCACCATCCAGTGAAAAAGAGTTGATTAAAGAATCTAATACAGGGTGCGGCAAAAAAACCGATCCATTTTCTGCAGAGCACTGTTCAGCGACAGGTCGTCTATGAGTGGTAGGAGTAGGCTCGTTGGAAAGCCTACACAATGCCATTTTTTGTAGTCATAAAGCAGTGGTTACCTGAGCTACGTTGTTATGGAGTTGTTTTTAAAAAGTATTGAATTCATTCATTGCAACTCAGCGGCAGTTTCATGCATTAATTAAGGCGACATAGAGAAGTTCCGTTGCGTATCACAATAATGCGGTGGGTTACTAACTTTAGAACAACGGCTTCTGCGTTTAAAAGGAAGCTGAAATGCCGTCCAAAGTCAGATCGGATGCCAGACAACTAGCATTGGATAGAGTTCATGCTGCTGTGGAAAACAGTCCTCGCAGGCCCGCTCAAAAACAAGCGGCTTGCCGAACATGTCTGACTGCTCAGTTACACCAATTTTGAGATTAATTTTCATCCCTACAGATAAATTAGAGTAATAATCTGTTTAATTGTGTTATCCATACAGATAATCAAGATGGAACCTCTCCATGTCGACCTAATGAATAAAAGCACGGAACTGCCACTGAGTTGCAATGACTGATTTACTACACGACTAGATAACAACCGCATGTAGCTCATACAACCACTGCTCTATGATTACAAGAAATGGCATCGTATAGGCTATCCAACGAGCCTACTCCCATCACCCTCAGGCGGCCTGTCGCTGAACAGTGCGCTGAATAAAATGGATTGGTTTTTTGCCGCACCCTGTACATACTATTAGGCCTAGTAGTCTGAAAATAAAAACAGAAATGTATATTGTTGTTATCGTTACTCTTTTGAAGTTCATCAATTGGTCACAGCCACACATTCGATAAGTAGCAAATTACAGACTGAGTGATTTTTTCCCATAGTTTTAGAACATGAAATTTGTTTTCAAGTTCTATAGACTATATTGTTGGTACAGTGTAGTGGATACCAAAAGGTTTGAATACTTAGTTTCATGACCCCCAGAAGCTTTATTTTTAAATTTACAACTCTATACATTCAGTCCAGTAGACCCCCTCATCTCTCTTGGCTGTAGAAAAATGGAATTGAAAAGTAGAGGAACAAAATGAAAATTTCTAAAGGACAAGAAAAAGAGTAAAAAAAAAACTAATTTCAAAACAAGCAAATGGAACTCATTGTAAAAACATACTTGGCAGATCAATTAATATTTAATTTTGTAATCCCCTATTAATGATTTGAATTATCTCTGTCTCTTGTAGGTTAGTTGAACTGGGAAAGTTAAGATTGCAAACTGAAGAACGGGAAAGGAAAGTGAATGATTCAGACTACGTTCGTAAGATGAAGAACAGAGCTGGAGTTTTGGAAACAAGGCTGGTATCTTGTGCAGAGTGTGGGGAAGAATTTTGTTCGGGAGAACTCTGTGGTGACTTTATGTACGATGCGTCGCTTAGGGAAAACAAAACTTTGGCGGGACCAGGTAAAATCTTATACCATCTATAGTTAGAACTAAAACTACTGTTAAACTTCATCCATCTTGTTCCTTTGGAATAGTTTTTTTGTGAGTAGCTCACAGTCAGTAGCGCTTGGACTTTGGTCATAAGGCTGCGATGTTGGTTCGGATCTTGGTATCGCCAGTATGCCACTAATTTTTTCCAGTACAGTTGACCACTGTACTGTACCGGCTCACTCATTGCTATGGTGAATATACATTCTATTCACAGGCCACTGTGGGCCATGTGGACGGGCAAATACAAGATAAAAGAGGCCACCACCCTATTTTCTTATGTTATTCATGTTACAAGAATATTTACATATTTTTAAGTTTAATAAAAAATAACCATGGCTTCTTACAACAAAATATTTTTCTAGCTTCTTCTCCTCTTCTCACTGATCAGTTGATCCTTACCTAGCATAGTGCTCATATCCTTCTGAATCTCAGCACCCATTTCTGCATCACATTTTATTGTTTCCAAATTAATTCAATTCAATTTATTGTTGTTGTTTTGTCCTGTTGTGTATGGAGACTTTCGATTTTCTCTCCAAGTCCTCTTTGATCAGAGTGTTCTTTCATCCTAACTATAATATTTTACACCCATATCAACCTTGACTTGTGAAGGTATAGCCACTATACCTTAATGGGGTAATTATTGCGACGAACGTGACCATGGGAACCTATATAGATATTTATATCACTAGAAACTAGATTTTTTGCTGAAAATAACGGTGCAAAAATTTTTCCGCGCTCACAAATATTAACGGAGTTACGGCTGTTTTAAGTTTTATTTACCTTTGTAAGTCTACTGACTAGCCTATTTAAATTGACGATATTTCCTCACCAGAAACTTTGTATAACTATTAAATTTATTTATGTAAATTGTAAGTGATTTTAAGTAAATATTAGACTCACACTAACAATCAATAGGTTAATTAACGCAAACTTATTAATTTCAGCATAAAGAACGTTCGGGAAACAAGATAGCTTATCTGTACGCAGCTATAAGTGAAATGGTTAGTGGCGACGGCATGATCCCACACAACACAAGAATATCCTTGGAATGTCCTGGGGATATTCCAGTGGGATATGGGGGATATCCTCTGTATATCCCGTAATGTCCTCGGGATATCCTGGGGAACTCCCTGGGAACTCCCTATGTCCGCCAAAATCCTGATCCCTGGGATATCCCACCAGGATATTATACACAAAATCACTAAATAATAAATATTTCGTCCGAAAAACACTTTTACCACTTAAATAGCTCATAAAAACAAATTTTTGGAAAAAATAGAAACAGAAATATTTTTGCCCAGACGAGTTTTGAACCGGGTACCTCTGACTTATGAAACTCTTACCTTACCTCCTGAGCTATTTGTGATTGTTGATATTACTAGTTTTCAAGCGGTTAAAGAGGAGCCGACAGCTGAAATGGTTGCAATACTTAAATATTTTTGATACTATGATTCTGTTAAGGCATCAAGTTGTTAAATTGTTTTTCTGGGAGTTGTAGAGGATACTGTAATAAGAATATTGATTATAATTGTTATATGATTAATTAATATTTCCCCTTAAATTTTCAACCAATAAATTTTCTTAAATAAGTTTGAATTTAAATTAAAAAGAAAATATTTGCATTATTATTATTATTGTAAGCAGGTGTATTATTGCTATTATTATTATAAAATGGCAAAAATGTAGAGTTTGATAGTTACCATGCCCCACGGGGATATCCTACGGATCTCCAAAGGATGTCCTAGGGATATGATCGGAAAACATGATTATTTTTTATAAATCATTAGTAACATTATTAGTTATTTTAATTCAAAATAGTATTGAAATACTTTTTAATAACGTTTCTCAAGCACTTGTCACTTGAAAAAATACATCCAATACTATAAAATACGTTTTAATATAGGTAGCCTACCGAGAATATCCATAGGAAGTCCCCAGGATATCCTCAAAATGCATTCGTTTGTGTTGGATATGTGCAATATCTTACAGTGATCCTAGGGACATTCTCAAATCCTGTTATCTATGTGGGATATGTGGGAACTGGTCAGGATCCTGTGCTGTGTGGGAAAGCTGTATTTGGTAGCATATTTCGAGAAGTACTTGATTTATTAGTGGATTTTACAAATAAATTATGAAAAAAGGATATCGTGGATATTCCTGTCCCTCGATCAAAAACCCTCAAAAAAATTAAATTAATTATTGTAACGGGAATATGCCAGGAATGTCCCAGGGATATTCCTATATCCCATGGGATATTGGAATATCCCAGGAATGTCCCAGGGATATTGCTATATCTCATGGGATATTGGGACGTTTTGGGAACTCTGTGGGATATCCTGAGGATATTCTGTGCTATGTGGGATGATGATGGATTTGACAAAATCCAGTTCCAAAGTTCCAGTAATCCAATCCACTCCACAAAATAGGCCAACATTGTTACTTTAACCATCTAGCTTTTATGCCCTTTTGACTCCTTATACCTAGGCATACTTTTAAAGCCTAACAACTAACAACTACTATTAAACATACACTAACAAACAATGTTAGACTTCTCATTCCATTTTAAAATCTGAAGTTTTTTCCATATCTAGTTCATGTTGGTGACACTTGAGCGCTAGTGTCATAACACTTTGTTAAATATTATAAGAGAGTACTACAGTAAAGTAGTATTAAATATATTAGTAATGAACTGTGCTTTACATTTGGTAATATAACCAGGGGATGAGTGATTGTGTTATTGACTTAAATAACACGTTGATTAGTCTATAGAATACATATTATTATTAAAATTAAACTATTCTAAACTAACTTAACCAAACCAAACTTGCTGTAGCATAAAATATAAGTATGATGACAGAAAAGGCATGGGTGGAAGGCAAGTCGGACTTTATGCGGATTCGTGACTGCATTAAGTCCTTTGAAGGTAGGTTAGATTAGGTAAGTTAAAGTGTAGGTTATAGTGAACTGAGTTGATAATTTATATTACACACAGGCAGTTGTTGTGCAATTAAAATAGTGTGTTAACCACAACAAAATAACGATTTAAAAAATGCTTGCAGTATTTTTTAAATCGTTATTTTATTGTGTTTTACACACTATTTTAATTGCACAACAACTGCCTGTGTGTAATATAAATTATCAACTCAGTTCACTATAACCTACACTTTACCTTCCTAATCTAACCTAACTTCAAAACACTTAATACAGTCACGAATCCGCATAAGCCCGACTTGCCTTCCACACATGCCTAAATAAAATCATTCTGAAATAAGTTATTCAGTGCCGTGTTGTTTCTTAGATGTTTGTAGCACATGTAATTGAAATGACTTGATTGACTTATTTTTATTCTCTTCTCTTCAATTTCGTATTTTCATTTTCATTTCAGGTTCAGTATAGTTGTACAAGTAAGTAACAGTTAGTCCGTTCCGTTGTTCCGTAATTCCGTAATGCGGCAACGGCAAGCAGTAGCAGAAGCAGACTAGAATAGAATAGAAAGTAGATAAAGGAAATCAAAACGACAAATAATTATCTTAAGTTACCTTAAAGTCGGGACCACGTAAGTTTGCAGTTGGTGGCAGCCAATCACAAGACAAGGCTAGTGCGACGTTGCCACTTCGCACTAATAAAATATACTAAGCAATGTTTTCACTTCAGCTGGTATTATTAGATTTGGCAACACCGCACGGTTCTCATTGGTTCATTCAAACCCATATGGTAAATAGGCTCCTCCCTCAACTGCAAACTTATGTGGTCCCGACTCTAGTTAATATTCTTGGCCTCGGAGACATTTTTGCACTGTTATTTCCTGGTAAAAAAGTGAGTCTTCTACTTTAATTACTTACAATTAACGTAATATCAAGTATCTGGAGAGAACATTTCATAGGCTTATAAATAGGTTAGGTCAAAAAACAAAGTACTGGTTGGTAAATAAAACTTAAAACAGCCGTAACTCCGTTAATATTTGAGAGCGAGGAAAAATTGTTGCACCATTATTTTCAGCTAAAAATCTAGTTTCTAGTGATATATAAATCTATATAGGTTCCCATGGTCACGTTCGTCGCAATAAATACCCTTAATGGTATTAGTTGCTCAACCGTTCATTTATAGGAAATAAAAAAACAAATTTCTAAGAACCTCCTTCTCAAGGCTACGGCAATGTTTTCTTGTAATGTGTCTATTGTTTAAACCGCATTAAACATTTTATTATATAGCCTATGTCCTGTATTAAATGTACTTGTTTTAATTCATCATTCTTCATTAACTGCTGACAAGTTTTAAATCCATCAATGTTCAAACATTGCAGTTATAAAATCTTTAAGAAAGTTTTTGAAGTAAGTTGATTTATGACTTCTGTTAGTTTTTCGTTTTCTTTGATCCAACTCTGACTCTTAGGCACAGGAGAGGCCAAGGCAGGCGTTCAAGAGCGAGGAAGATCAAAAAGTCGAAGACCAAGGAGGTCCAAGAGCCGGAGAAAGAGTGCAAAACCTAAGAGTAAAAGCAGAGAGAGACGGAAGAGCAAGAGTTATGAGAGGCCAAAAAGCAAGTCTCTTGAGAGAAAGAAGAGCCTAGACCGCAGGAAAAGTGTCAGTCTTGAGCGAGCTAGGAAGCAAAGCACGTCAGGAAAGAAAAGTTTGCAGCGGAGAAAATCTAAAACAGCTAAGAAATAAATTGTGTCATAAACCCAGACAGACATAACTTAAAAAACACTTTTTTGGGTTCAGGGTGTCCAAAAACAGATATTTCCACCCAAAACTCATTTTTGAAAATGTTGACAAATACCCGAATTTTTCCATATACAGTAAGATGCAAGAAGAGTAAGAAACATATCTAAATATCATGTTATAACTGTCCGAATGTCCTTAGTTACTCACACAGCCACCATTTTATTTGTTTCACTTATTAATTTTTTTAAAAGTAGTTAAAGAAACAAAATTGAAACTTTACACAAACATTTATGACAACTAGGCAAAGCTAAAAAATTATGAAAATTTTTAAAATACACAAAACAAAATGGCGGCTGTGTAAAATTTTGTTTCTTAAATAACTCAAAAACTGATTTTACAAATGTTTTAAATAGCTGTGATTTTGTTTTATGAATTTGAAAAATGTCCATATTTTTTTGAAGGATTTTCTAGTTGTCATAAATGTTTTTGCAAAGTTTCGTATCTTTAACCACTTTTTAGAACAAAAATAAGTGGGAAAACAAAGTTGCGGCTGTGTGAATAACCAAAGGATTTCAGGGCAATTTAAATATAATCTTTAGATATGTTTTTTTCTCAGGAACAATGCCCTAAAATATTGGTAGAGAGGTCCGGGACACTCTGTAAAGGGGAGAATGTTAAATATATAGTTCAAATTGTCAATACAATTGTCTGCTAAGTATACTGTATACTGTTATGCATTTAGAACAAAGAGTACTTCATTGGCATTTTTACTGAAAATAAACAGCTTATAAAAAAAAACTACACGGTTTTCTTTATTAGGTAATAATACTTTTCTAGTATCAAAAAAGAGGAAACTTTACACTATAAAATATCAACTAAATGATAATAACATTGTACAGGTATAATACTAAGTTTCATAATTAAAATTTCAACAAAGGATGCACACTTGTGTTAAATTGACAAACTTGTTAAGTACGTAATCAAGAATCTAAAAGCTCTTTAGGTTTACAAAGGGTTCATAACACTTGGCTTTTGAAAGTCATCCCTTGGGTATAATGGGATTAAATATGTTACAAAAGTAGATTAACACAAGCACAAGCGCGTCTTTAGAAGCGTTTCTTGATATTTTACCGTCGATTCTTGGAAAATCTTAGGGATTAAGTATTAGTACGAGTTTGTCTAACTTCAGACTGAACAAAGATTGTTATATACGTTTTAATGTGTGTTCTCATTCTATTAGTACTATGTAATTTCTGTACCTTTTGTTGTTATGTGATTATGTAGCTTAGACATTGTTTAAAAATGTGCAAGCTTTAATAATTAATGATTTTATGATAGTAAAAACATTTTTTTATGTCTCACCTTCACAACCTAGGACGCTTGGTTCTAGCCCAGAACTGTATTACACATTACTTCAGGCAAGTCCTTGAGGGTTACGGCATTATCACATAGATAAAATCCATTGGTGAATGATATAATTTGAACCTAGGACCTTAGGCTCTGAAGCCCGAGCTCTGCACTAGATATCTCGCTCCCCAATAATAAATACATCAATACATCAACACACAATACATCAATAGTGTAAATCAAGTAACAATAGCCAATACAACATTCACTCTTTTAGTAGTTTTTTAAATATACAAATATTTTCTCAAAATAATAAAGAAATAGGTACATAAAGTAAAACCATAAACATAATCTACAAATCTTTTTCGGTACAGACCCTTACCCAAACCATAAATATTTTAGTGCATCCTTTGAAAGTTTATGAAGAAGCATAAATAACAGTCTAGGCCTACTGATCAACAGTCTGGAAGGCTCATAAACTTGGATAAAAGTAAAGTGCTTTTACCTACTCCTCATTAGTAGGGTAAGAACTTTTTTTCATAAATTTATGATTTAAATTTTGAAATCTGTGTGATTTACCTATTATACAATTTCATCCTTTTATTTAATTGTATAAAACCAAGGAGTTTACTTTGATAACATATTATCAATTTAGGAAAAATCTATGTTTAGTGCATCCAACCAAATTTAATAAACTGGGTACCTATAAACAAAGGTAAAATAGTTAATATTTCTTGCCTGTCCGTGGTACATAAGAGCTTAGGTTAAATGAGATTAGTAATTAATTGAAATTACAAAATACAGTATTAAACATTAACTACAGATACAAACTAAAAGTCTGAAAAGACCTAATACAGTATTATTTTTAAAGAGAGAGAATACCTTACATTACATGAATATCATTGTAATTTTACAACTACCTAACATAGTTATATTATAATGATTTTAATCCCAACAAGGAAGTACCTAACATTTTGGGAAATATTAAATTTATATCTCACTTGTTAACAAAGAAGTTGGGAGAACTTTTTATTAAGGTTAAATGTTAATAACCGTTTCCAAAGTCTAAATGAAAACAGCTTTGGGCCTTTTCAAACTTTGCTAATACTGCTTCGTTGAAAGATGGTTTAAACTATTTTGGCGTTGCATGCCTAAGGAAACATATTTTCCTACTACTTAATAAATGCAAGTATATAACAAATTTTGACATTCACCAGGTGTCAGTAGACTAAACATATTCTATGTTTGATTGATTTATTTTGTATTGGTATGTGATGCTGGGAGGGAACCTAAAAAAACGGTGACTTTGTTAATATATCAAAAACATTTTGGAATTGTTTGGATCTAAAAATGTGAGTTGTTAAACGTTTATAACGAGTTACAACAGTAACCCGTTTTATTTTTATTCCTGGATGTCAAGGAAATATTCAAAGGAAATGGTAAGTAAAACTTTCTCAAAACATGTGTAATTTCAGTTGATATTCTGAACATATCAATCCTTTAAAACCTTCATGAAAAATTTGAACTGCGGTAGGTTTTTTTTAAAATTTTGACTATCCACTTTTTTGTACTCTGCTTTATGAAAACACATGTGCATTTTAAGTGAGAAATTATGTCTGATCAACAAAAAATCAGATTTTCTTTATCAGGCAATGCCTCTGCCATACAACAAAAACTCTTCGTATTAAAATAAGTGACTGTCACAAACCGCATTATAACTTATAACTAATTATATTTTCGTTCATCAGAAAAAAATACTTCACTTTTTTTGTTACTTTATGGACCTTGCCAACATTTTCAGTTAACTTGGAGAGGCCAAACCAATGTAATATTATGAATTACTTTACCAATGTACAGGGTGGCCCAATAAAATTTACTCATTTTTTTCACGGCAATTAATTATTATTGAGCGGAGCGAGCGAAGCTCTTATACTACACTCCTGCTTTTTTATTACAAATACTCCTCCTGAACGGCTGAAGCGATCTGCATGAAATTTAACACAGTCATAGTAACCAACCATGGGAAGGTATAAATCTGAAACGGTACAAATCGGACCATAGGACTTTTCCCTACATGAATGCAAACTTTTGGAAATTTAACATGGGCCTTTTGGGTTAATTGGTCGCCATGTCATTATTTGCGAGTAAACACTAAAAAGTAAACAAGAGCCTCAACATTAGTCAACAAATCTACCACATGATAAATACAGTACAAAAGAAAAAATTGGATAATACTAAAGAGCATATTATAGTATATTGTATGTAATACGAAATGATTAACAATCAGTTCTATATTGAGTGATTAAACTCCATGCCGTTTATATTTAATTGTAAAATGGTTCTGTTCTTTTTAACAACAATGAATAGTCAACTAATTAGGCCTAAGTTTATGTTGCTTGGAGAAGGAGAAGATAAAACGAGGTCATTAAAAAAACACTACAACATAATTATACCAACAAAAATCACACAGCCCTTGATTTGCAAGAAACTTTGTAAAAAATGTTCTTGTAGCTAAAAATACAAAATCGTTTTACGAAATGAAATCACAACCACGTGGTTTACAGGTAAGGTTTAAGACTAAATGGTGTAACTTAGACAATAAAATAGTTGTATTGATAAATTTTATTGCACAATAGGGAAATTTTGAAAGTGGTTGACGACAATTTCTTACTTTTAACTGCTAAAATAAAACTAGACCTAAGTTATAGGCCTATACTAAGTGAGGCTAACCCCAATCCCTCACAACAATAATACTGGTAAACAGTTATTGAGGTAATTGAATTGGTGAGTTTTATGAATGTTCAATGCAAATAAGTCTTCTGTACAAATAAATGATTCTTTTTTTAATAATGAAGAAAGAAGACATTGAAAAAAATAAAGAAAAGCAAATTCTACATACAATGGGTAATAATAATATAATAATAATCGTTATTGCCTTTTAATAATACAGGTATTGCTTAGGCCTACCATGATTCATTTGCAGTATCGAAATTATTGAGCGGAGTGAAGCGAAGCTCTTATACTACACTCACTGCCTTTGTTTTACAAATATAGGTCAGGCTCCACCTGACAGGCTTAAGCGATCTGCAGGAAATTTGGCACAGTCATGTAACCAACCATATGGGAAGGTATAAATCTGAAATGGTAATATTCGGACCACAGGACTTAAACCAATAATAAGGGTTGCCGGAATTAGGCTGATGCACCATATTGCGTTTGGAATCTGTAAATAACTTACAGCATTTTATGTGAGCAAGACGTGCAATTAATGTAGACTTTGAATATCTATCTGATTGGAACATGTTCAATTCCTATTTGCAGTCTACAAATAGGAATTCCACTAATGTGAACCAAATATAACACAATTCGTTGACTTGAACCCGACGTATCATTGACTTTGAATACTGCACATAGACATCCCATATAAGTGAAGCAGAAGTAGGCCTAAGCCTACCATTGACTTCGGATACTGCAATTAGGCATTTTATTTATGTGAACAAAATAAATGGACCATTGATTTATTGAGGATACTGCAAGTAGACTATTCATTTACATGTACCATTGGGTTTGGATACTACAAGTAAACAATCCGTCTACGTGAACCATACGTACTATTGACTTTAGAATCTGTAAATAGGCATTCCATTTATGCGAAC